ATTAAAAATACTGCTTGGAGGCAACTTAAAGATGGCTGCCGACTGACTGACTTACCATAAAAGGCCAGGCCACAGTTTGTCTCTACAAACTATTGTAAAAGTTCAGGGGGTATTAGCAAAACATCACCCTGTAGCAGTGGACACGAGGTTCAGAAGTGTTGCTGAAGTTCTCGCAACACTTTATTTCTACAGAGAGATTTATTTGTGCAGGCCAGCCACTATAATTTTCATCTATTGTTTTCAAGTGTGAAGATCTCAGAGGGTTTGATTGGATCTTACTGCAATGAAGTCTTCAAGTATTTCTCCCTTAACAAGGGCCTCGGCGTAGCATCATAAACAGCTTGTTTATGAGAGAAGGGAGCCTGTACACTTAAGAGTCTGGGCGGTGAAGCACTGTATTAGTATTTTATTTTCCTAGAGACTGTCCCTCATGGCCATGGACTGTGTTTTTGAGAGATAGCGGCTGAATAAAAAGATCATATTTTAATGGTTCTACATCTGCTTTGGAGGTCAGTCGCTCTTCTAGCTGTTAAAACTTGCATTTTTTACAAGCAGACTTGTTTTTGTTTCTGTTTGGTTCAGTACATAGTGAGATTGTGGGTTAGAGCCAGTCGCTCAAACAAGTGACTCACGAGTTAGACGCACATTTATGAGTCATTTTGATTGATTCCTCAAAAAAGTTGTGCAAATGAGATGCTGTTTGGTAGAAGTTGCGATGCAGGCACTTGATGTATTGAAGCTCTTTTGTAATCAAGCGTTTATCATGACAAATGACTATTATCCACTTATATTGTTTGTAGTGTTGATCGTCTGAGCAGTCGTTTCCATCTCAGGATGAGCTCCATTCAGGGTCCTCTGAGACCATGAACAGTGCGTGGACTTTAGTGAGAAAGTCATGGAGAAATAAAAAGAGACGGAATTGGGGAAGAAGGAACTATTTTAAGCTTGCTGTGTAATTAATCATAAGCCAACGGCATGAAACGGAAAAGGCTTTTAAATGCTATTGCTTTCATCCGTGTTCCATTGTTTCCTTTGTTGTGGTTGTTTATCCATCCTTCTACTCATTCACCTCACGTAAAAAGTCACTTCATGCGTCTTGATTGATCAGATCACTGAAAAAAATGGTGTAGAAACAATTTCACTCAGAAATTACTAGTAACTTTCACAAGCATTTACAAAGAAACGTCAAGTATTTTATTGAAAACATTCTCCAGTCATTTTTATTTACACTTTGCAAAATTGATTTATTAGAAGTAGTAGTATTTACTTTTTTTATTAATTATACATTTATTTTTACTTTTGTCACTTTTTACTGTTTTTATTTCCATTATTTTTAAGTTAATAAGAATTTTATTTTAATGAACGTATTTGTCATTTTTTATTGTCACTTTATTGACAGAAACAGTCATTTTAGTTATTAATATGGTTTTTAATTATATTCCTAATTTTATTTAATTTTAATTTTTGCCACTTTTGTGCTATTTTTATTTTATTTAAAAAATTGTATTTAAATAATACTTTTTTATTTTTGTCACTGTTTAATTATTGTTTTCATCATTTTCTTTTTACTGACAGAAACTTTTATAACTGTTTTATAAACGGTTTAATTATTATTATTATTTTGTTTAATTTTAATTAATAATTTTTACTATTTTATTTAAAATGTATTATTTTTTATTTTAAGTATTTCTTTATTTTGTTACTTATTAATTATTGTTTTTATTATTTTCATTGTCCCTTTTCATTAACTAACGCAGTAATGTTTTATGATTTTAATTTTTGTCACTTTTTAACTATTTTTATTTAAAATGTATTTTTTTTTCTTTTATTTGTCACGGTTTTTAACTATTTTTTTATCATTTTCATTTCCATTTTCATTTATTTTTATTGACAGAAATAGTACAGGGATGAAAGAGAGCGGGAATGGGAACAGAAAACATCTTAATACACCTTGATCGATCGTATAACTGTCCAATTGTGTGTGTACATTCCATTTACACTTGGAAAATGGATCTAGATCCAATCTACTAATCCGCAAATCTTTCCTTTAAGTGTTCTCCTCATCCTATTTTGGATTAGTATTTGAGTTTCGAGGTTCCTCTGTCTACGATTGCTTGCTCACTTGTGCATCACGAAACTCCCAAATTTTCCATGCTATCGTAATTCTGTTTGGGATGAATAAAGCTTACATATGTGGCCTGAATAACCACATGCATTTACACCTCAAACCACCTACTGAGGTATTTTCATATTATCCACTGCTTAGGGAAGCAATCTCCGTCGGGACTAGCGATCTGTGCAGGAAATGGCCTACGTCGTGACTAATTGTTTGGGACCTGAATGTCTTTTTCCCCTGCACCGTTTCCAGCTTAGTGACAAGAGCTCTCCATCCTCTCAGAAAATGATCCGTTTGACGGGATTTGGGATGAAAAAGCTCTCGAGTGGGCACTGAAGAGTCCATTTCATCATGATGATGACGAGGAGTCCTTGAACTCTGTCGCTCTTGTGGAGTTGTGTGCAAGAGGAGTCTCCGGTCTGGGCGGCGTTCATTAAAATTGGTCAATGCGGATCTTTAGGTCATCGTGCCCCGCATGAAGAGTTCACAATATCCAAGCTGCCTCGCACTGAGCCGAGCCGGCTTTGAGAGCTCATGAAAGAGCGGGGGAATGTTTATCCGCTCTTACTGGCTATGAAGCAGCAGTCACTCATGTGTCATATACTTGTCAATCTCAGCCATCCAGCTGGGGGTTTCTGCTGGCTGTTGTCTTTGGACTAAATGAACAATTGACTGCAAAACGTGAAGTATTCACTGTGTCCGACTTTCAAATTTTGTCCTTCATGGAGTTCTTTGTATTTCGTTTTTGTGTATATGTGGATTTTATGTAGTCGTGGTTTCATTTTTGTCACTTCGCGGTGTGAGCAAGGCCTTGAGCCTGTTTCAAAAATGAATAATTTATATATAAAAAGCAATGGGTGGATGAATATTTAGCTTCAACATGATTTTGGTAAGTTTTGATGTCTGCTGTCTACTACTCTGTTGAAAAGACCAGTACATATTGTATTATATTATATGCATAACCTTAAAATGTTTCTTGCTGGACAAAAAGGACCATTATAATTGTAATAGATTATTATAATATATAATAAATATGTAAAATAATACAATACACACACAAGCACACACACGTATACAGTATATTATTATATATTATATATATATATATATATATATATAATACTGAGCAAAGGGTCTGAATACTTAGGACCATGTGATATTTCAGTTTTTCTTTTTTAATAAATCTGCAAAAATGTCAACGATTCTGTGTTTTTCTGTCAATATGGGGTGTTGTGTGTACATTAATGAGGAAAAAAAAATAACTTAAATGATTTTAGCAAATGGCTGCAATATAACAAAGAGTGAAAAATTTAAGGGGGTCTGAATACTTTCCGTACCCACTGTATATATTATTTTACATATGTGGTACACATTTGTACATTTATAATATGTTTCTATTATTATTACCAATTTTGAATATCACAAAAGCAAGTTTTTTTTTTGTTAAAAGAATAATACAAATTATGAGTTTATTTTTTGAATGTATTAATTATAATTCATAATATATTTAAATAAATTATTAATTTGTCATTTATAAATAATATTTTATAACAACGTATATTCTATTCATAAAGTTTATTTTTACATATTTAATGTTAATTTCTACATGCGTAATGTGTTTATATTTTTTATAGCCTGGTTTCATTTGTTGCCATTAAAACACTGTTTTTGACTACCACAAAGCAAAACTGAAAGGTTGCTTTTTGAAAGAAAAAAAAGATGATTCATACAATTTATTGGTTTATTTATGTACTTTATTATATTTTTAACAGCATTGCTATGTTGATCTACTAGCTATTGACAAGCATTGACCATCATAATCCAGCCTGAGCCAGCATGGGACTTCACGCTGATTATTTCAGCATGGTAAAATGAGCTGAATTCTGTCTGTAAATTCAAATAAAATGGACAAATGCAAGTGCAGTACAGTAGCTACAGAGCACAGCTGCAAACCTTGCCTTTAATCTGCTTTCATACTCTGCTTGTGTATCATTGCATGTGTACTTTTTGTTTTCTTAAGGGATTGTGTGCTTCAAGAAGAATATGTTAGAGGAGAGAAATAAAACAAGCTGTCACAACAAACAAGAAACATAGTACAGTTAATTTCAACTGAAGAGTTCCCGAGGCCTGTAACAAAGTAAAACTCGAGAAGATGTGGGAAGTCGAATGCACACGGCGGCGTGTGTTGCGAGGCCGTGTTGCGATTTATCTCCCCTGCTGTAAATAATTGCATGTTTGGAATTATACCGGAGGAGACATGGTGTGTTTGATGCACTGTCAGATTGCGTTTCGTGGTTGGAAATGGATTATAAAGCAGCACTTAATCAATTTCCAGTGCAAGTTGTGCGCCGACGTCCTTGTAAAGGTTCCCTGTCTGTAAGTTGTTGTAATTATTACTTAATCTGTGAAATTTTCCATATATCACCACACCCCAAAACATTTTGCCGTACAGGTTTTTCAAGAGTCGTATCTCACGGAAATAAAGTGTGTTTATGACCCGAGAACGGTATGGTAATGTGCCATAAAAATAGACGAAAGTGTGCGCCGCTACTCTAGGCGATGATCGGATAATTTATGAAGGCCGAGGATCATCAGAGGTGGACATGGTGAATCGCATTGTCCTTCCCTGCGGAGCATCTGTCATGATGAACGGGGCATGACATCAAACTTGTGCTAATCTCTCACCTTGTTGAAAGTCATACGCTCAGGCTCCTCTTCGTTTTCAGTCTGGAAAGTGGAATATTTCTGCTCGTGTTTCATGAGTGAGACCCAAACTTGGGTTGGGCGCTCATACGATGCAAACATTGAGCCTTGGTGCTCATATGGGAAATTTAGGTTTGAATCTGGCTGTAAAACGTGTTTTCTTTTCGTTCTCCCTCTACAGCAGAAGATGATCCCTGCCAGACCAACCCGTGCCTGCATGGTGGGAGTTGTTTGACCGAGGGGGAGGGATACAGTTGCCTGTGCCCTCAGGGCTATTCGGGAGAGAGCTGCGAGATCGGTAAGTGGATTGAGAGAGAGGTCGGGGTCGGGACAAAAGAGGTCAAGGACGTTTGAAGGAGCCCACTGCAGCTTTAGAAGTGCACTCGAATTTATGCACACAGCTAAAATTGGATATAAAACCAATGCAAGCATCTCTTTTGAGGGTTATGCCTTTGACCCTTGATATAAAACCAATGAATACGATTATTAGCAAGACGAAGACCTACAATGTCCGCCAAAATTTAATTTACCAGCATCTTGATCAGATGTCATCATTTTGGTCGGAGGTTATAAAGGAACTGTAGGTTAGGGAAATTGTAATAAAAATACCAGTGCCGAGGTAAATAAACATAATATACTAAAAAATAACACATTTTTACAAATATTTTATTATTATTATTGTTATTGTTGTTGTTGTTGTCGTTATTATTATTATTATTAGTTATAAATTTATTTTACCGTTTGTCACTTTTTGCAGGTTTTATTTATTTATTTATTTATATTTTTTAATATTCATTTTAGTAGTAGTAGTAGTTGTTGTTGTTGTTGATGATGTTGCTGTTAGTAATCAAATAAATAATATATATTATTAGTGAATTCATTTTTGTTATCAGAAATATCAATAATAATAATAATTATTATTATTATTATTATTATTAATTTATTTGAACTTTTGTAAATTTTACAGTTTATTATTATTATTATTGTTATTACTATAGAAAATCAAAAACAATTCACAATTAAACATACAAATGTGTTACATTTTTTAAATATTTAAAATAATTTTATAATATATTTTTAAAAAGTGGTACAGGTAAATCATTTTGGCTGTAGGGCGTTCAGCTGACTGCAAAATTTGGGAACCCCTGGTGTAGTTGATATGAGTAGCTCTGCAGGTGGTTTACAGAAGCAGAGAGACCTGACAGCAAACTGCGAGGTGACATGTACGGGAAATGGCTGCGTGATCTGACAGGGCTGCACACAGCTCATTCTTCTCTGTCAGACAAGAACAGGAACAGGTGAAAGGAGAACTGGGCCGGAGGTTGGAAGGTTTCGAGAAAATGAGAGCACACTCTGAACAGGAGGGCAAGGCTATGCTGTGGAGAAAAAAAAAGGAGAGAGGGATAAAGAGGTAGAAAAGAGACAGGAATAATATATATGGAACAGCTAGAACTGTAATCACTTGAAGAGGGCATGAAATGACAGTCTTCAGAACGCAGTTAACATCCATAATGTGGTGTATTTCTCAGTAATAATGTAGGTTAGAGTTTTATCCTTCTGAATTGGAGTGAATCATGAAAAGTTACTATTACTCATACATAGGAGTAGTGGTTTTTCAAGATTTTAGACACATACATGATAAAACTTGCAGAAAAGGCCCTAAAAACCACCCATAACTCGTAAAATTCTGTGCAAAGTGCATAAACGGTCTAGGATGAGTTTGAAAAGTATATTTTTTCAAAAAATCCAAATCCAATTTTAAAACTGACAATGACCAACAGTTTTAAAGGATATCTCAAGGAATTGATTGTAGCTCACACAGTTCCAGAGTAATTAGTGAAAGTTTAAATCTGATAATTAAAGCGCCACACCTAGTGTCTGACCGATGTACGTACAGAGTGGGTGGGATGTGAGACCATCCTACCTAGTTTCAACAATTACAGAAAAACATGAAAGGATGAGGACAAAATCAGACCAAGCACTTTGTAACTTTTGCTGGCAAAAATCTGTGCATATATATTTATCTGTCTTTATATTTAACTTTTACCTTTTAGTTGTAAAAAAAATTGCACTGCTTTTGTGCTCATCAGCTAAACAGACAGCTGAGGCCATAATAAGGTGTCATTACGGAGAGGCGTCGGGATGTCAAAGGTCCCAGCTGTGTTATGGTGGAGAGGTCAAATGTTAGCAAAGCTGCATTATCTCGGGTCTCATTATCAATCTTTTCACGAGCCAACTGCACAGTCAATATGTGAATTATGCTAAACTACAACAAACAGTCGATCTGTCGCTAACACTTGTGCTAGTAAGCATAACAGTACGATACTAAGCAGCATGTACACTAATAACCCGTCTATAGATTTGATTCACAAGATATATTTTATACCATTCTGCACAGCCTTAGGGATTCATTTCAGATTTTTGACGCAAATGGCATTCGGAAGAAAACGTCTCAGGTTACATATGTAACCATGGTTCCCTGAGTAGGGAACGAGACACTGCGTCCTCTAGGGGTCGCTATGGGGAACGCCTCGTCGTGACCCGTGTTTGAAGCATACATTGAAAAAACACCAACTCGTTGGCAGTTCGAAGTTCCCATGAAAGGGAACTATTCGTGTTTATGTAATTACCGAAACACTTTTGGACATCGAAAGTTCCTTTGGGTGATTTAGTAATTGGCTTTTCCTGTGGAGCATTCTGCATTAGCGGTGTGTGTAATATTAATTACAGCCAAAGGCAGAAAGTTAATTGCATATTACTGCAAACTCTTGACCACATTTTGTACTAGCCTAACACTTGATCTCTGCAGTCAATGTGTTGTCTTATGAAAGAAGGATGAATTATGTAGGGAAAGTGTTCTTTGATTCCCTTTATTGTATTCATATTCATTACCGCGGTTTGCTAGGACTAGTCTTGCCCTGCTGTGCTGCAAACGTGATTTTTTATGCTGCAAACATGAATAATATTGTACCTCAGATTGGGTGGTTTATTGAGGAAAGGTGTAGTTTTACAAGAGTTTGGACAGCATAAAATTGGTGGACAATGTGGGCACAAATTCCATAGACTTACATTGAACAAGGAACTCTGAGCCATATATATAAACCATAATATCATAGAGACCTAACAGTGGTCTCTTTTGGGCTTAGGCCTACAGCAACCACACAAAACACCCTAGAAACCACATAGCAACACCCTAGCAACCGCATTGCATCTCTTGCTGTCAGGCACGTGCACAGGTAGGGCTCAACCTGTGCAGAGCACATGCCCTTTTTGTCCTTACACTCCGAAGTGCCCTTTTTTTTGTTTGTTTTTTTGTTCTTCTTCAATAAATCAATGCTATTGTTCACCCTTTACGTCTGTCTGTCTGTTTT